CACAACTCGTGTCGAAGAGAAGAAATCATTGTATCTGACTTGCAGTCGAACAGCCACGAAGCGCTCATAGCTGACAGCACCCAAAGTCATAAAAGACACTCCAAAGCAACTGAAAAAAGCCAGATGATACATGATCCTCACAAAACAAGGAACTAGACGAAGCTGGTTTTCCAAAAGCCTGTATGTGATATATCCGAGCTGGACTGTTAGGGATACCAACAAATCAGAAAGCGCCAGAGAAGCTATCAACAGATTAGAGGGAGTTCGTAGACGAGGACAGCCAAAGATGGCGGTGACAATCAGTAAATTTGCAATAACACCGACTGGAACTGTTACAATGTTAATGATGGCTGTAACAAGGTTGATTGTAAACCGTTCATGAGCTTTATGGAAGGATGGATCACCAAGATAGAAACAGGAATTTTCGTGCTCGGGGTGATTGCCCTCCATTTTGCAGAATATACTTCCTACTCTATGACTTGTTCAAAGACGATTTAGAGTCCTCCTACAAATCTTTGAAGAATTCAAATGTGCTATTATGTCAACCAACAGGGTGCAGAGCAATCAACCCATGTCATTTATCGGTGTTGAATAGAATGGCAACCCGCTGAACAAAATTGAATTTTAATCAGAGTGCTCTATGAGCAAACTGGTGAATTGACACATGATTTTTTGGATTATGTTTAATGTTATCTGGTTTAGGGAATTTTGTGGTTGATTGTCGTATCTAGAGTACAAGCAGTAGTTCAGTGTTCGCTAATGTAGCAAAGAAACAAAGTAATTGAAATTGAAATGATCATGCTATTACATTTGACAAGGGTGGATGATGTCACGTGTTTTAAACGTATATCATTTTTGTTTCTGGTTCAAAAGAAAAGGTTGGAAATAAATGTGGGTGAAAAGTGAAATTTATTGTCTATCATTGTAAAAATTAGAAAATCAAGGCAATACTGTCTTAATGAAAACATTAAGATTCCCTTTTTATCAAATGAGACAAACGGGAACGAGTTTTGAGTGATATAACTAAGCCAAGACTGCCACCGTCATTTTGGATCTCCGCCTGGGTAGATTTTAGTCACGTGCTAGGCAACGTATAATCAATAACAAGATAGAATTTCATTTCAGGCCTATTTATCAATTTTGTGGTGTATAACTTTCGCATTTTAGTACGTAATACGTATTTTGAATCTTCAAATTGTCTTGAACCTTAAAAGAAAATTGTTCGTTAAAAATTCAATGAAAATCGGTAGCTAAAATTGTTTGTTTAGGCGTTATTTGATTTTCGTGTTTACTTGTAATTTCGTCAGTCGCCGGTATATTCTGTTGCTTCACACAGGAAAAACACACGATACAAAACGTAATGATCGATTTTGTCCTCAATCTCACGCCATAACAGAAAAAGCTTTTGAACATCTGTAAACTCCGTGCGCTTCGCAGTAAGTGATATTTTCGTATCTATAACTCGTTCTTTCGCATGCGCGCAATTCACGAGTTAAAAAATGGCCTCATCGGAAATTGTATAATGCCTTCAATTGCCAAGCACGCGATTGTGTAATCGTGTTTAAGTTTTAGTTCTCGTCACGGAAAACATTGAATTAAAACGTGACTTGCGAGGAAGTGTTACACTGTACTTGATTCTTATTAAGCCACCACGGTGTATCTCTTTACATAGTAGCCGAGATATTGCAAAAATTAATGCGCAAGTAAACAAACAAAAATTGAAAATTTATTTCATAAAAGCAACAGACTGCACTTTTTATCGGTTTACTGGCTTAATAACCCGCGCATCTCAATCAGTATACGCACGTTAAGCATGAACCAGTTGTTAAATACGTGGAACTGAATAATGTATTAAGAATATTCCAAAATTACAACTATAGAGTTTTTCTATCTTAGGCTATGATATCATAAAAAAGTAGTAAAATGAGTGACCTATGAAACAGTCAAGTGCAAATTCATTTGACTCTCGCACCTTCGTGTAGCATGAAAGTGGCTTGTGTCGTTTGGTAAAACCCACGCGAATATTTAAAATGGAAAAAAAATTGAAATCCTCTTCTTTATTAACTACTAACCCTAATTATTGTTTATTTGCAAATTTCCTTCTCTTGAAGAGAAGAAAGAAAAGTAAAAAAAGTTCTCGATCTAGAAGCAGTTCTAGTCTTTGCCGCAGAGAATATGTTCATTGTATCGGGAAATTCCTTTTAGGTTTGTGGTCAAACATTATGCCCTTCTCACTTTTTCTTCGATTAACTTACTAGCGTCATATGAAAGCGGCGGAGACAACAAAATTACGAGCTATTGGAAGAATTATGCGCCTTCTCAATTAAGACATTTTCGTTATTTTGAGTGGCATGAGGCCGACATACATGTAGCCGTTTACGAAAAGTACTTCTCTCGTGACTCTCTGAATATGAGTACAGTCAAAATGTTCTTAAAATTCTTATTGTGCGCCTGCATTACCTCCCTATCGTAGTAAAAGTAGATCTTCCAAAATCTCCGTAGGACACGTGACACTCCTTTGTCGTGATACAAGTTTGTTCTTACGCACTGAATTAGCAGTATATGGCAGTTATTCCGATGAAACAGGCTACATTGTAAACATGAATCTCGATCTAATTAAAAAAAAATATATTCCTTTGGCAAAGTTAAAGGGTGCATGACAACTGAAGCCAAATATTTGTTTTCAATTTGTTTTCTAGCATGATTATAGAGCTTTCTCCTGCTAACTCACAGCATACTGAGGCTAATGGAAGCATCATTGCTGAAAAAAGAAAAAATCTTTCATCATGTTTTAAATTCCATTTCCTTTCACTTGAAATTATTATCCACAGATTATTCTCCATTTCAAATACACCTGCCTCAAGGAGATAAAAGATATCGCATGTCAGTTTGGGGACAGAAATAATGCATATTTTACAGGAAGTTTGATGGTAATAGAGTTTTTTAGAGAAAGCGGTTTTGTTTGTCACTATCGACATGGAGAAGAACAACCAACTCACTTTTGTTGTTTTTTGGAAGTGAGTTTCGTTGCCTTAGCTGCGATCTGAGGAAGTAACCTCTCCTTGGACGGATCTTGACGCTAATTCTGTACGAAAGAAGGATGTTTCCTCGCATTTTTTGAAAGCCAAATGATACGGGTAAGTTTTAATTATAAAATTCGTTCAAGGTTTCGCGCCTCAATTTAGCAAAAAAAATTCGTTAAGGTCTTCAAAATTGTAGAATTTCGGTTTGAAATTGTTGCAAATTTAACAAAAAGCGATTGGAGATGCATTTAATGTTATTGTAAAGACTAAAATTTACCCAAAGATTATTACAAATAATTATGACGAGTATCTGTATTTTATATCAGAGCGCACAATCCTTTTATTTGTAAATTGTAGCCATAGAAAAAATTATTAAAAATGCATTTTTTCTATTGCTACTGTACTGTTAAAGACAGCTTAACTTTTTACGAACGTGCACAATAAAAAAAAAACATGCGTGCTGTTCTCGCGCGCGCTTTCGTTTTCACGCGCGCCTTCAAAACTCTAGCTCGTTTGTTTCTTTCTAGCACCAGTTAAAGTATAACGCTAAATGAGAAATACGTATTTTGCACGTCTTACTTGTCTTGGTTAAAGTGTTAAAAAATACTGTTATATTGGAAAGCTTTCTTGACATTAGTTCCCAATTTGCTTACCCATGGCAAGTTCTTCCTTGTCTGTAAACTGCCATATCATCAAATGTGGTTGACAATTTTCTAACTTGCATGATTGCCTAGGCAACATTGCTCCGTACGTGTAAAAGCAGCTTTAATGTGAATTAAAGGCTTCCTTTTAAATCCTTATAAAAGTGTTTTGAGGCATTTAAAAACGGAGGGTTAAGTCTAAGATCGGTCGCTCGTGGTCTGAGTGCCAGGATTACCACAGCAACCGAAAACTGCTTTCCTATCTTTGCATCTAGGAAAAGTTGATTCAAAGCCTGTAAAGTTGGAAAATTCCGTTGTGCCTATCGATCACAAGCCTCTTAGAAATGATTTCGGAGCTTTAATAGAAAACATATTTTAAACAAAGACACCAGGGAAAGTTCAGAAATTAAGATAATAAGAAAAAGCCTTCAAGAAAGATTTTTGATCTGAAGTGGTCTCCGTGATCAGTAATGGCTTCATCATTTGCGTCTTTTGTTCCATAATTTTTTAACAAAAGTTTTTCGCTAGGCGCTAATGATCAATTTCTTCCTTTAGCCTGAGAAATACTCGTGATTTCCGAAAATCGCCTAATCTTAAATTTTTTTGTTGTATGTGTGTATTATTCTCGGAAGATACAGAAATTCTAGAAAAAAATCGCACTTAAAAGGCAAACTTTAACAAAGGCTTGCTAACATGCCTTTATATTTTCTCAACAAATATATGTGTTTTTTTTCAGTAAGCTTTTTTAAACGACTTTTTTACGTGTTAGATGAAACATATGACCTCCACTACAAAAAGAATTTGCTTTCATTTGAGGTGGAAATTCGTGCTCAAGGGCTCCGTAGTTTTTATTTTTGCTTCGTGCTAAAAAATTCTCCCTTCTTGAAAAAGATAATGTCCGTGAACAAAAACCCGATTATTTATTTTTCACTAATAGATGCTATTCATTGTTTATTTGCTTCCAGTTTCATTAAAAGCAGGCTGTCAAGGAGTTTTCATTCTACATTTATTCGAAAGAACGACAACCTTTTCATTTAAATTTCTTTTAGAGTAAGATGGATTTATATTTCATGTTTCTATGGCTCAATTTTGGGACAGTTTTTCTGCTAATCCCTCCAATTACTACGGCGAGCAACCAAATGAAAACACCGCTGATCTACATCAACAACATATTCATGGAGAACCTCAGCATAGAAAATCATACAATTCAGACTGAAAGCGTGCGGGACCCTTGGGAATGTTTTCGTCACTGCGCTAAACACTGCGACTGCATTGCGTTTCAATTCAGTGAAAAGATATGTGAGCTTCTGGACACGGACATTGATGGAGCCATCGGGAAGCGAGTGAAAAGACCAGGAACTCTTTTGTATCGTGTACAGCAAAACGGCGTGAGGGTAAGTTTTTCTTCTTGTAGAGTGGTTTTTTTAATAAAATTTCGAAGACTTTTTCAAAGCTGGAAAATATAGATGATCAAATCAAAATTGACTGGAACTCCATTTATCATGATTCATGGCGGGGATGAGTCGCTTCGAAATATTCGCCTTGTATGAAATGAAGAGTTTCTTTGAAAATTTTTTTCGTTGCAATACTCATTTTTTAAAAGACAAAAAAAGAACAACGACTCCTAATTCTATTCAGGGAAATTTTAATTTTAATTTTATTGCTGTTCGTGTTTGTTTTCAGGAAAATGGCAGATGCCTGAATGGCTGCTGTCAATCGAAACCTTGCCTTAATGGAGGCACATGCGCAGAAAATTGCGATGACATCAGGAAACAATACAACTGCACATGTCCACAGCATTACCAGGGAAAGAGATGTGAGATATTCCATCCAAGAGTCAATTCATGCCTATCTTATTTAAAGCTGAAACCAGAGTCTAAGTCAGGCGTGTATAAGCTTAATGATACGGCTCAGAGTTATTGTGATTTTGACTCGAAACCCGGAAAAGTCTGGACTCTCATCGAGTCATTCTCTTTAGGAAATAAGGATTTTTACAACCAAAAGCCTTTTTATTACAACTTTCCGAGAAACGAGACAAGATTCAACTGGAATGATTATCGAGTATCCTACCAAGCAATGGTCAACATCCGACACAACTCGACGCACTGGCGAGTGACGTGCAATTTCCCGTCAGGCCTTAATTTCACCGACTACGCACGCGCTACTCTCCAAGACACGGACATCCTGACATTTTTCAATCAAGATAGCTGTCAGAGGTACGAGTACATCTCAGTTCGAGGAAGAAGTTGCACTTATTGTTCGGGGATGCTTGTGCAGCGAGATACCCAACATATGCATACTGATTCGTACTGGAGTGGAAAAAACGGTTGCTCTTGGGATCCAAGTACAGGTGCCCTGGAGCACGAAGATAATTTTGGATTCTATGACATTATCAATCCTAAACACAAGTGCACCGAAAATTCTTTTTCCACCACGCAATGGTGGCTTGGTGCGGAGCTCTAAATCTGAGCCCACACCACGCTGGGCGTAGGTTATGTAGACGTGCGTGAGGAAGGGGAAACAACGTAGCGGTAAAACGTTGGCTGGGCATGCGCTATTGGATCAATTTTGGCCAGCCCTATGGAAATTTCTTCTCAAAAAATTTTAAACGAAAACTTATAAAACAACTAGTGTCACTTTTACCCCAATCCTCCCCACCCACTAAAAAAAAGCATGCATTTTTGCACACATTGACTCTGTAGTTTGTGTGTTTTTTTAACTTCTGTAAGACACTCTAGTTCTGATAGCTTGCAAGCACGGTATCTAGCCACCAAATTGGATTGACCATTAACTCCTCACTTGATGAGTTCTGATGGTGACTTCTGCTCATGTTGTCGACTATTTTCTGTCGGTTTTGTCCAGACTCTTGGTCTGAGGAGAGGATTGTGCGGAAAACGGCACAAGTCCTTTTCGCACTTTCCAACCTACTCCATTGACTAATGAACACAGCTATGCGCTATAGGACTCCACTCAACTTCACAGTTTCACGATTGTGGATGAACAAGTGTGATTTTAATCCTCTTTATTTTTTCAATTTAAGTATGATTTTAAAAGCCCTTATTTTTCCAGTTAAAGGTTATCTTTATTACTTGATAACTTTCTCTGGACTCACTTTACACCGACGCGTACGATGACCGCTCTCGTGACTGCTCTCAGCTTGTAAAAACGTACCTGACTATAGCCGACAAATGTTTTTTTTTCTAGGAATACTCTCACCTGGACGATCAGACAAATATAATAATAATAATAGTAATAATTTATTGACTTCTAACGCGCAAATTCTATGTATATATATTCAAATGCACCGTAACATAATAATTACAATAAACTAAAGATAAAATAAAAATAATAAAAATAATGATAATTGGAATACAAAATAACAATTAAATGCGCTTCATAATAAATAAGATATGCAACATATAACTGATTATTAGTTGAAATGTTCTATTTAAAACTTTATCAATGAATAAATAACTATAAAAACTTCTAACAGTGTAGTTTGATCGTCCGGGTGAGTGTAGTCCTGAGAAGGACTGTTGTCGGTAGTGGTGACTGACGTTTCGACAACCTGAGAAGTCAGAGTCAAGTGAAAGGTTGTTGTTAGTCGAATGTACTTAGTCCGGTTTGTGTACACTGATTGGTCAGTTTTGCCGGGATGTTTTTGGCTGTAAGACTCAAGTGGCGTAGGTCAGTCGCGATTGGTCGGTTTCGATCCGTTAGTGAAGTTAGGTCGTTCTGTTCGGTTCGTTTTTAATGTCAATGTCGTGGATGAGTCGTTTGTATGGTGCCGGTAGTGGTTGACACCTGTTGAGGGGAGTCCGTTCTAAGTTAGTAAACCAGCTTTCCTGGGTCAGTTGTCGAAAGTAGTTGGTGCTGTAGGTTAGGCATTGCGCAGAGTCCCAGTCAATAGTATGGTTCGTAAGTCAGTGATGTTCAGCAATGTGATTGTTGACATCGCCTTTCCTCGTCGCTCGTTTGTGTTCAGTCAGTCTAATTGCGAGTTTTCTGCCATTCTCACCAATGCACGAGGCGTGGCAATCGGAGCAATTGATCTGATATACTGCTCCTTGTCTGTTCCTCGGTTCGTCTCTGTCTTTGATGTCAATCAGTAACTGACGTAGTGTGGTAATAGGTTTGTGAGCGACGCGAATATTGAATGGTTGTAGGATGCGTGAGATGTTCTCAGATATGCCCTTTATGTATGGTATAGTGGCTGTGGTCGTAACCATACCATACATAAAGGGTATATCGACGAAGCAACAAGGTTTGTGGTGTTTATAGATTCTTTAGAAGCAGTAAAAGGAGCTTGAACTCGACTGATTCATAAGTTATTAATTTTACCATCAGCCTATTACCTAAGATAGAAAAATATTCTGTACTTGTAGTTTTAGGACATTGGAAATACATCATTCCATTCTTGGCGTTTCAATTTGTTATTAATGTTTTAAAACCTAAACAGGAGTGTGTAATTGCGTGCTTAGCATTTAAAGGCCTTATTTATTTCCGAATAATGCAGTTGTTAATATTTAATTTCGTTCAGTAGGTTGCTATTCTATTCAGTGTTGAAAATTTGACATTGGCTACTCGTATTTTAGCTTGTAAGTAGTCATAATGACACATTATGAATTCTTCAAACGTTTCTACGCGCTCTTTTAATAAAAGAAATACTTTTAGAAAAAGCCCATCGGAAAAGGCGATCTGCCCATCGATCAAATTTATCAAAAACACAGCTCTTTGTGATTTATTTAAATTAAACTGGATTTACCTTGACGACCAGATAGCCTTACCCTCCCCTATTGTAAACAAACTTCCAAGTAATTATACTACGTTTTTACACAACAATATTTCCCTTTCTTTATTGTGAGCGATCTTATCCAGTAAAACGGAAAGTCAGAGACGCTATATCTATTCCTCTATGCTGGAAAAATGGTTGCTTTCTGTGGGGAATAGTAACTAACTGAACTTTGAGATACAACAATGAGATACGCATCTAAGTGCTGTTCTACTATCTATTTCAATAAGGCCGGCGGAATTTGGGAAATTTGTTCTGGAGCAAAATAATGTTTTTTTTTCACCTTTCAAGAATTTTAATCGCTCTAACACATAATTTAAAGATGCGAGATTTGATAGTTTTACTGAAGAACAATTATATGTTATTCACCAGGCGGGAAGTCCGTGTCGGGAAAACTGTGCCCGACGTCTTGGATACCATGCGGTACTCAAGACAAAGGACACAGTTCTTCCCGATGAGGATCAACCTAAGCTGGTGGATAACATCTTTACTTTATTTTTAAACTTAACGAAGAAAACAGAGGTAAGGCAAATTAAATAGAGAGGCTTCACCGAAACATTGATGGGAAAATACTTCCTGCTCTTGAAACCAATCAGATCGGAGGATTTGTATAGTACCGCCCGCTCATGTATCAAGAGTAGAAAATGACATTTATGTCTATCAATTGTTCTTCGGTTTACTTAATCCCTTTTTGCATTACGTCTGCATAACCAGAATATTTTAAAAATAGAGTTAATTAACATATTCATAAATTAGCTTTCCAAATTTTTTGATTACAAGCAGGTAATGCTTGCAAGATCTTATGCCGGAAACAATACAAAACTGAAATAGAAAAATAAATCCACGCATATAATCGTATTGGTGTTAAAGTGTAGACGTAACTTTTTTTTTCGTTGTAGAAGCCACACATCTTCTTTACCAACTCTTAGTCGATAATAAATCAAGTTTTAAACCTACCCGTTAAGCAGTGTTATACTTTATTTAGAAAACAAGAACTTTTCTCCATAGTCATGTTTAAGTGAACGAAAAAGACCGCTTTTCTTTTAAGTAAAAACATGTTAGAAAATTAAAAGTTTTTACTTTATAGACTTAATTTATAGGGTCTATAACTTAATCGAAATTGGTCTTTTTCTACTTTCTGTTGAATTAAAGCTTCTTCCTCTTTCGTGAAACGATAATTATATGACATCATGACTAGTATATCGTAATCAAAATTTTAATGAATTAAAAACTTTCTCTTGTCACCTGCACGAAACAGAATCCTTGTGATATTTCATGAGGGACCTGATCTTGCTGTAACGGTCATATTCGGTTATTAAGATATTCCTTGAAAATGTCCAATGATAAAGACTCTTCTAGACTAATTCGAAAATTTTCGCAATATGCGTAAAATTGACTTTCGTGGATGCAATATCATCGCCATGTTTTTTCTCCATATACCTTATACCTTGGTAGCTGTATAGGGTTTGTTTTATGCTCAATATCCCAAGTTTCTCCCCTTAAAGAGCTTTTTAGATGGCCTTTACCCGCAAGATTGAGTGATTGTGAGATCAAAATTATTAACTTCTTTTTCCAAACATGCAGAGACTTTTGCATTTAATTCTTTTATTCTGAAATATATATGTACATACGTTCTTTTGAAGGGAAACAGTTCTAATGAAATTGTGTTTTCGCGCTGTCACAGAAACAACGCGTTGCTACGCACGTAACAGTTGAACATCTAAATTTATCGCCACATCAATTATGCAAATTTTGTAGTATATCAACGATGGTCCCGAATATTATTGCAATAAAAATACCCGGAAGAGTGAGTTAACCACGAAACAGGCTAGTCGGGATGAAAGTGTAGTCTCTTTGTTTTTCCTGCCTCAATAAAAAAAATCGCGCTCTCGTTCTATGTATAGAGTACTACGGCAAAAACCGAAAAACAGACTTCTTACGATATATAAATTTTTTTTGTGGTTGGTGGTGTCAAACATTTTTCCTCGTTTCCATCTTCTCCTCTACCTTTCAAAATACTAATCATAGATATTACGCAAAAAGTCGGCTGTTATTTGCAAACAGTTACGACCCGAAAGTTCCTCCCGTTTAAACCATCTGACGTTGTCAATATTCCTTTTGAAACTCATCCGTAAAGTTTGATCATCTGCGATGCTAATGCGGCGGTAAAAGAAAGAAAATTCGAGCTTTCATTGAATTGAAGTTATTTGGAAGGCGTTGTGTACTCTCTCAAAGATCCATCACCTGAATAAGTACTTGTCATGAAGCGCAAATTAACAACCTGAGGCTTTAATGAAAAGCCTTGCAGTAATTTAGGAAGTTATGAAATAGCAGATGTCAAACGTTCAACGGAAGTTTGCTGCCAGTTTTGAATATTACTATGACACTTAAATACTAGTAGTCAAGATATTGACAAAACATTTGGCGAAATGAAAAAATAACAAAAAACAAAAAACAAAATGTTCAAAAAATGAGAATAAAAATGTGTTTTAGCAAATTGATTTCTTCAGGAGATATTTGACTCTTCGAAAAATCTCTCTCTTTTTCCAGTAACATATAATTGGATTTGAGCAGGAGTTTAGAAAAGCCAGCGTCTCTGTCCAGCTGTAGTGGTTGTATGTTTGAATGTTTTGCCCTAATATCTGATGATAAAATGTCACAAATAGAACGGGAAAGTTCAAAATAAAGTAAATTACAACCACAGTCAATATCTTTTTCGCCAGCTTCACTTCTCTTTGTCTCTGTAGCTTTTCATCCACTTGAAGTTGGTCATTAACTCGTCGATTGTGTCTTCGTATGGCCACAAAAACGCCAATTTGGGTCACAGTTGAGACGAGAAGGCAAAGATACCAAAGAGTTAGATGAATACCTCTCATGGCTTTATCTATTTTAGCCCATTCCAGAGCAGTCAAGAATATATTGACCGTCCATATCCCCAAAGCATATTTTAGAGCCCGTCTCGTAGAAAACATCGCGTTGTACCTGACACGTAGACGAACAGCCACAAAGCGCTCATAGCTCACAGCGGTTAGAGTCATGAAAGAAACACTAAAACATACGTAGAATGCAGAATTGTAGATATGTCTTGCAAAACAAGGAACTGAACGATGCTGATTTTCCATAAGCCGGTAGGTGATATAACCTGGTTGGACTGTCAGGCCGACAAATGCATCTGACAATGCTAAAGTCGCAAGCAATAGATTGGAAGGAGTTTGTAGACGGGGACAGTCAAAAATGGCGATGATGATCAGCATGTTGGCAATAAAAGAGAATGGAGTGGTAACGATGTTGATGATGGCTGTTATTAAGTTTGTAATGAATCGCTCAGAGGCTAAATCGAATAACGGATGAGGAAGATGAAAACAAGAAGAATCCTGAGAGGAAATATTCAAATCCATGACAACTAACTGCTGCCAGACTGTAAACCGAAAACTTTGTTTTATTTCCCTGTGTCATGATGCATCACTTTTATTGCTTCTCACTGGTTAAGGGAAGAACGTGTATATGCATTATTATTAGCACCATAAAAGCAAAGACGTGTTGTCACTCAACTTAAAATCGTCACGTTCTAAAAAAAAGGTTTTCTAATTTATCATTTGTAAAATGTGGTTCTTTCTGTTGAAGCCCCTGACATTTGAATTTTAAATGTAAACATTTTCCGACACATCATGATAACGTGCCGGGTTCCTATTGGGCACCAATCTAACTCAATCGAATCATACTCCATGCTCACGCTCGGTTTTTGATATTATGTAAATATATATTATATTACTTGAAACATACAACTATAAAATAAAGAAGCCCCTGCAGTGCTCTGTTTTGTCGTAGAGAATGTAAGAAGCGAATAGTGGGCGAAATAGTCAAATGCTTCCCCACTACTTCTTAAGGGAGATACTAGATTCAATTTAATCGCTAAACTTTATTGCGAGAGTCAAGCTAGGCATTGTAGTGATAATTTAGTGTATTGAGAACATAATAAGGGTACTTATACCAATGCTAATAATATCAAGGATTACTTAGTGATTTGAAATTACTTTTATCGAGCAACAATGTACCAGCCTATTAGAAAACTGATCGATGAATAAAGACAATATATATAGAAAGCAATTAAGGAGTGAGTATCTCCTTCAAATAAATACTCAACAATAACCTTCTTTGAAAATAATGGTCCAAGGAGACAGTGCGAATATATCCTTGTGCAAGACCTATCACCACGCGATGTGTGCGTAACCAATGCTTAGATCTAATCAAGGTATCTGGATTGCCTAAGCTACGTTATTGAGAGAGTTTTGAGTTTTTTATTCTTTTAATAATAAAATGCATGACAAGTGTCATAACAAAGTGCGACTGCTTACCTTACCAGTCTTAAAATTTGGGATAGTTTTTTATTATAAAGGGAAACGGCCTTTTTATAAATAGTGTACTCTCACAAAGATCCATCACCTGAATTAGTACTTGTCATGAGGCGCAATTTAACAACCTGAGACTTTGATGAAAAAGCTTGCATTAATTGAAGAAGTTCTGAAAATAGCAGGTGTAAAACTTGAAATTGACGTTTGCCACCAGTTTTGAAAATTACTATGACACTTAAAATCAGTAGTCAAGATATTAACCAAACATTGGGCGAAATGAAAGAAAGAACAAAATATTATACAAATTTGCCTACAAAATGTGTTTTAGGAAACAATTTTTTTCAGGAGATCTTTAACTCTTTGAAGAATCTCGATGTTTTTCCAGAAACATATAAATGGATTTGAGCAGGAGTTTAGAAAAGCCAGCATCTCTGTCCAGCTGTAGTGGTTGTATGTTTGCCATTAAAACGCCAATTTGGGTCGCAGTTGAGGCAAGAAGGCAAAGATACCAAATAGTTAGATGAATACCTCTCATAGCCTTATCTATTTTAGCCCATTCCATAGCAGTCAAAAAAATGTTTACCGTCCATATCCCCAAAGCATATTTTAGAGCCCGTCTCGTAGAAAACATCCAATCTAACTCAATTTAATCCCATGCACACGCTCAGTTTTTTTGACATTACGTAACTTGAAACAGGCAAAACTTCTTTACATATTACTACTAGCACCATAAAAGCAATGACGTGCTGTCACCCGACTTAAACTCATCAAGTTACCAAAAAAAGTTGTTATAATTTATCATTTAAAAAGTGTGGTTCTTCCAGTTCAGGCCCCTGGCATTTTGAATATTAAATTTAAACAATTTTCTACACACGATGATAACGTGCAGGGTTTCTATTGGGCACCAATCTAACTCAATTTAATCCCATGCACACACTCGGTTTTTTGACATTACGTAACTTGAAATAGAAAATTATAAATTAAAGAAGCCCCTGTAGTGCACTGTTTTGTTGTAGAGCACGCGGGTAGCGAACAATGGGCAAAATAGTCGAGTGCATCCCCATTACTTCCTAAGGGAGAGACTAGTTTCAATTTTATTGCTAAACTTTATTGCGAGAGCCAAGTCAGGCAATATGGTAGTAATTATAGTGTGCTGAGAACATAGAAAGAGTACTTTTACCAATACTGGTAATATCAAGGATTACTGAGTGATGTGAAAGTACTTTAATCAAATAACATAGTTGTACTCGCTTATTAGAGAGCTAATCCATGAATAAAGACAATAAATATAGAAAGAAATTAAGGATTGAGTGTCTCCTCCAAATGAATACTTAACAGTTACCTTCTTTGATGGTAAAAGGAGGAAGTGCGAATATATCCTTGGGCA